TACTTCCTTTCTTGCCGCAATTATTAGGGTTGCCACAATTATTTTTGGGAGCACTGGCATCAACAATAGTTTCGCGATTTTTTATGGCCCTCGAAACCGAATAGTACCAAAAAAAGCAATAATTTGAGAAATACTAGTGAACATTTAAAATGTTCTAATTAATTATTTTTCATATTTACAACAGTTTTACCTGTTACAAATTTACTGCTTTAAAAATACAAAATACATAATTAGCCACAATAAAAAAATTGACCTTTTTTGAACGATTTTGGAAATTAAATGAAACTGTTAAGTGGTTAAAAATGTATAGTACTAGTTATTATCATATAGAAGTCAAGAAGCAAAATTCAAGCACAAAAAAAACCCCACTACATTGGGAAAAGTAAAGTAAATTGAAAATGCAGCTGTTTCTTTGAACTGGAAAATGGCTTGGTATGAAGTATGGGGAGGGGGGAAATGTTCTACTGTACTAAACCAATTATAGTTTATAGAATGAAGAATGGGGGGGGGGAATGTTCTACTGTACTAAACCAATTATAGTTTCAAGAAGTACATAAAAATATTGTAATAATTCAATAATTAAACATAAATTAGCAAGAAAATTTCTAGTTCACAAATATCTCTTTTGTTATGAAATCATAGTTAGATAAACTTTAATTCACAGACTCTAAATACATGCACTACAAGCTCTGAGACGTGCCAACAAAATTTCCATATTAAAGAATAACTACTCCAAATATACAGTTCAAGATTAAATCGCAGATGTCATGCTAAATGCCTATGTGTGACTATATGTGTCTATTTGATATACTATATTGTCTGATTATTTGTTAGAAATAAACCAAAAAAAATTTTTTTCCATCAAGTACATAATACAATTCAGTACTTTTTGATTATATATGCGAAAGGCGACAGCCGTTTTGAAAATGGCACACTAAGAATTCCATGAAAGAGCAATGAACAAATTTAAAAAGCAAAAAACATCCATAAAACATAGTTCTTCAATAAATCCTAACGTAACTTTTTGCACTCTTCTTTTTGTCCCGTGTAGACAGTAAACTATTTTCACTAAAAAAAAATCAAGAGAACTGCACAAATTCAGCATTGTGCACTTCTCCCCATGTACACAGCAATGCTTATAATTTTTACATAAAAGTTCATTACATAAGAAATACAATTTCATGGAATGAAAATTTTTGCATTGTCTTTTGTCAGTCAAAATGCCATATTTCTGAGGAAATGCAAGGATTTCTCATCAGGCAGCCAAACCTACAGTCCCATTATGATTCATTACAAGAAACAGAGTATTCACTAACCACAAAAATGACAACTGAATTTTGAAGGTGTAAATCTGTCTGTATTGAAATACATGTCTACTGTGCACATATCTTAATTGCCTAATAAATACATTTTGCCAACAAAATAGGTTGCCACATCACTATTCTGGTAAATGATAATGCTCATATAATGTGTCTCAGGAATACATTTTTTGAAAAAGTTTTAGATAATCAGAAAGAACTCATAATTTTAACCCAGCTTAACAGTCATATGCTAACTCAGGTTATCATCAACCACTGTAAGCTAGGAGTCATACATCAGTTTAGCATATAAAATGCTTCAAAAATAGTTTTTAAAAAAATTATTATTTCAGTTGCCTTCTCTTTAACTACATTAATAATTATTTCTACATAAAATTTGCAAAAACTAAACTAAAGTTTATTTAAAAAAAAAACTAAAATAAAAATAACAAATGTTTTAAACATTTGTTATAAATACTCTCAATTATTAAATAATAAAGAATCTCTATGTATGTATTTTCTTTACATTATGTAAAAACACCAGCACCTTGAGCCATCAAACTTTCAATGCATGTGATCCTCTACACAAGCATACGCATCTTGAAGCCTGAATTTTGAATTTCAAATTTGTTATTTATTTATTTCATATTTTATGTGATTTAATGAATTCTTCATTACCATTTTAAAAGCACTCAGCAAAGGTATCTATGTTTCCAATTTACAGAAAACTCAGCAATTTAAAAGAAATGTATTGCCACTAGGCAAAGCATGGTCTTTCAAATTTAATAAAGAAACTCAGTAACTTTAAAAAACATATATTTAATTTACCTTTTAAATTTAATATGTCTGTTACCGGTTAACAAACAAAGCAACTTCAAAAAAAAAAAAAATAAATGCAGTTTTTTACCTCTATTATTATTACTACATTCATTCATGAAATTAACAGTAGCTGTAGTTGTCAAAAATAATTACATATTGTTCTTTTTTGTAACTATTTTAGCCCGCTGGCAGTTCAAGATGCTAGTACTCATAAATAAGAAGGGTTATCATTTAGAGTTCATAACAGAAAACGAAATAATAAAATGAAATTTACATTTTATTAAGATAAGCACGGGTGTCATCTTAACAGCAAATGATGTATGCCTATAAATTTAAAAATTTGAATAAAAAATTATTTCTTTTTAACTAAATGGCGCAGAAATTATGAATTACTTTAAATATACAGCTCTGCAATAAATCGGCTTTTTAATTAGAAATTTAAACAAACTGAGTTGTGCATTGCAATATCTTCTTTAGTTTACACTTCATAAGAGACTGAATGCTGTCAAGCCTATGACTCTGGCTGATGGATATTTTACTCTTGCAAAAGGAGCTCCTTCCTTTCCATCTATTTTCCTCCTAAAGCTTTCCACAGTATGCAAATTTACCACAGATGTCTACAGTTGCCTTATTGCATACAAACAGAATACAGTGTTTGTTGTTATTGTTTACCATTAAATTCAACACTATTATTACTTTTCAGTTCAGATAAAGGTGCTTCCTGCTGTGAGGTTTATACTGTATTCTGCATTTAACTAACATAAGCTTATTCTCCCTTTTTGACTTCTTTTTTTTTTTTTCTTTAGTGTGTTTAATTTTAAAATTTAATGAAGCATATTTTCTAGAAATCTGAAGCATGACTAAACATGAGACAGTACTTTTAAAGGACTCATTATACAAATGCTTAGTTTGCCTGTCTCTAAAAAAAGAATTTTACTTAAAAATTTATATATTTTAGCAGCCATACGCAGTAAATATAAATATAAAAACATAAGATATTTTCAAGCTACATAATGCAAAAAAATTAACAAGTTTATGATGATGAAACTTTTTTTGGCTTGATCAGCTGCTTGATAATGCAAAAATAAATATGTCAAATAAAGGGATGGATTCAGTAATTTCAATATATTATTAGTACCTATTTTAAGATATAAAAATTCTCTCTACAGTCACAGCTTAAATTCAGCTGGAGCCACTTTTCTAACTTTCAGTGAAATCTTATTTCCAAACATAGCACAAAAGACCTCCAGTAGTTTGTAGTAGAACTGAATAGCAATATTTAAAGAAAATTCTGTAATTAATTCAACATCTTTTTCAACAGTTCATAAAATTGATATTGGTTCTAGATACTATTCGATTGCTACAATTTCCCTGGTAAGCACAAAATGGGAAGGCGAGCATCTACGGAAAAAATCTTTTACGTCAAAATTCAATACCACCAGGAAAAGGATTTTTATGGACTGAAATCATATGGTCAGAATGATTTCGAATGAATTAAAAGCAATAATGATGCAATTTTATCTGAATGCCTATATTACTTATAAAAATACTTACCTTTCTTACATTCTCTCCAGCAAGTCTCATTTCGATTAATTTACTTTTGTTTGTTTTATAATTTCACTTAATTTTTATGCTCTTTTTAAATTTATTACTCATCATTAATACTTTTATATCCCTTTAATTTTAATTATTACTTATTGCTTTATCTATTATTTTTTCACATTTTTGATGGCCTTCCATAAAGCACTAACATTTCTAATTTTAGAAATTAAACTGCAGCTGTAATATTAGAACAAGCGGAGACTGTTCCACATACAGACACTCAAAAGAAGAGCTCTTACTTATATAAGCATATAAAAACATCAATACAAATTTATAGAAAAAATTTTAAAACATCAGACAAATTACATACATTTCTTTACAAAACAACATCAGCCGTTTAGATTGCTTTGATCAATCTGATGGTTCCACAAATGAACAGATGCATAATATTAATAAATTTAAATGAGAGAAGAAAGGGTAAGCTCAGTTTTATATTGTTTTTTATTGTATTTTATTGTTTTTATTGTATTTTTTTTTATATTTTCATGTTTTTTATTATTTAGAAAAATCTTACAAACTGCAATTCAAAAGTTCGTATGAATGGAAAAAAACAAGGAAATAAAAATTTCCTATTTTGTTTCAATCAAAAATCATAATCAACCAATGCATAGCATAAATGGAGTTTTCCAACACAGAATATATACTGAAAAATATTAAATGGATAACTATATTGTAATAATGAAGTAAATATGGGAAAAGTTTAGTTTTTAAAATAAGTTCAAACTTACGAGGTTTCTGAATGCAGGAAGATTTCCGAAGTCCAATTTTCTGAATACTTTGTTTAAAAGTAAGTAATAATTCAAAGTGTAATTTCCTTTTTGTCACACTAGAAAGGATACTAAAATACATGTGCATCAACTCAACAACTAGCAATTTATCATACTGAAACTGTAATAGAAAGTTTACCACCTATATTTATTAACAGTGGGTAATGAACTATTTTGACTCTTTTAGCTCTGCCTCTGGCTTTTGCAGCCTTCATATGTAGAGGTCTATTTTATTGATAGTAGAGATTGTTTTACTATTCACCACTAGATGTTTCATCTGACGGCTTGGTTGAATGTTCCCCCCTCATCTCGTGGATATCTGCTTTTCAATGCTATAAGTGGAATAATTTACTAATAGGAACCAAATAGGAACTTGTTAATATGTTACAAAGCAGTTCTTAACACCTATAAACAGCATTTTGAAGACTCTTCTTTTTTTTTCATGGGGGAGGGGGAAATCAAATAAAAAAATCTAGGGCTGAATGAGTTAAAGAATACAAGAAATGAAACTTACCACAATCCACTGCTTTTCCAAAACTGCTCAAGAATTCCAGATGGAATGCCACCATTTACAATAACTTGATAGTGGCAAATGCCTTGAGACCTGTCATATGTTAAATGATTTTTGCAAACATTTGCTGTTGTTATTGTATTCTACAAAAATAATGAAAGGATTCAATCTCTAGTAAATTACATAAAATGTTGCTACAAAAATTCATTCAATGACAAAAAATTGAAAAAAAATTCTTATTTGCTGCTACTGTATTCTACAAAAATAATGAAAAGATTCAATATCTTTAATGAAAAAAGGTACTCTTCTGTTATGAGGACCAGATTCAGAAATGTATGTATATGTGCATGTATTGATAAATTTCCTCATGTATGCATGTGTATATTCTATATGTATATATACACACACATAAAGGCACATACATACATTTCTGAATCTGGTCCCAATAACAGAAGAGTACCAAAAAAAAAAATCATCAAATCTTATAAAAATGTTGTTATAGTTTTAAAAAAAAATCATCCAATGCCAAAAAATTGAAATTTAATGTAAATAAAACTTTCATTCTAAGACAGAACACATACATCAACCTAAGGCATCTGAAGTGCTGAATCTTATTTTTTATTTAAATACATATATAGATATCATATATAAAAATATAACAGCTTTGGCAAAATGTTAGTTAATATAAAGACTTAAATTTGGAAAATAAAATGTATACATAGAAGAACAAAAATCCACAGAACATGAGACGTGAAGTTGTGCTGATTTAAGGATTTTATAGTTTTTAGGTCATAAATGAAAAATCATTAGACTAAAATAAATAAATAAATTCAAAAAAGCATTTTATGACTTTTTAGAAATATACATTAAATACATTACGATTACACATAAAAAGAAAATATGGATAAAAATATGCATTAATTATTTTTAACATCTTTCAAAAATCTTTTTAACAATAGTTTAAGACTTCAGGTTGCACTAGTTTGAGTCCCCTTGCTCCCATATTATATACATTCATTAATTCCTGATCAGCTAGACAATCTTGCTGTTCTAAATTTGTGTTTTCACCCTTACAAACAACAAAATGGTGATATTTTAGAACTATCATTCTGAAAAAGCAGAAGAGTATTGTTTTTAGTTCAAGCAATAGTAAAAGTAAAAAAAAAAATCCAGTATGTTTCCTTTAAATAGACAACAATCAAGAACAAGAGCCATATTAGAGTGAAATTTAATCTGAAACAGTAATGGTAACCACAACTAAACATTCAACATGCATCACTACTCAAAAGCATGACGAAATGAGAAAAATATTAGTGTTCATGAAGTGAATAATCCCATCAAAACCAAGGAAGGGTTCACTGTTTTTTTCTTTTCTTGGTATTGTTGCCTGATGTATAATTTCAGAGTTATTTTTAAAACATAATTTCACCTTATGGTTATTTGAACCAAGTCTCACTCTGGGCAACTGCTTTTCCCTGAAATTTAATGACAGACCTCAGCATTTAGCAACTATCAAATCATAAAATCCATTCAAAATCTCGCATGAAAAAGATGTCTGGACCAAAATAGAGTAAAAGTATCGTCTACATAGCGGAACTATGCGGGGAAGTTTAAAGTTTCAAACAATTTTGATTCATAATAATGCATTTAGACCAGACAGGATGGGACTGAGGGGGCTTCCCATGGCTAATCCCTCAGTTTGCTTGTAATATTTATTTTGGAAAACAAAATGTGTTTGTTTCAAACAGAGTGAAAGAAATTAGCTTATCAATTTCCATGCAAGAAGGCATGCTGCACACATTTTGAATTCAGTGCCATTAACAAAAGAAAACCAAAATTCGAACTATTATAATCTTGTTGAAATAAAACAGTACAGTTTCTCCTCAGTAAGTTCTCCACCAAAACACCTCCTCTTAAGCAGATAGCACTAGTGTGCTTTGCCTCATTCAGTCTACATATATGAAGCTTTTGACACTTTTACTTTTGATACTTTGGACTAAATAGCGCTGCTTTGCAACAGTTACACGGTCGATGGGATAATAAATAAGTACCAATAATATTAACAAAAGAATTTCAAATAAAGTAATAGATAATGATAAATGGAAAAAAAATTAAATATTTTTGTGTGCACTTATTTTTCTTATCTCACATTCTACTTCTTCAGTTCATCCTTATCTTTTACCCATTTTAAAGAATCAGTCCAATCAACATGAAAAATTTGAACTAAACTTCTGTACACAAATACAATAAAAACGGATTAAATGAATAATGAGTACTGCATTCTAATTTGCATTTATAGTTACATTAATATATAACAAAAATGCCCTATCAATAACAAAAAACAATAAAAAAATTTTAATATTTATTTTGTAATCAATTGGAAGAGTTTTACAACTTACTTTTCAAAATACTATACTATTACCAACAGAATATTCATCTAAAAATTAGTCAATTAAATATATTTTCAGTACATTACATTCATTCTACTGCAGTGTGGATGACACATTATATCAGAAAAACTGTACATGCTCTCATGCTCTTGCCTGCTATCAAAGAACTATGTAACTAACATATTCTTTTAAAACTACAATTCACATCTGACATGTTAAATAAAGCAAACTGCAAGCAATATTCATAACACTAAATAATTAAATGCATGGAATTGGAAGGAGGAAAACAGGAATAGTTCTCAGAGTCTGCTTTGTTAAATGAAGATGAGAAAACTTCTTTTTTCAATTCTCAAATACCCTTCTTTGAGGATATGCTTCTTCAAGAGTTTCATTTTTTTCCCCACCTTTAATTACATCTAAAGACTAAAAAATTTATGCCATAAAACTACTAAATATACATTTTACTGCTATTAATTAGAATTTAATAGCTTTAAAATAAAATTCTGGGCTCTAGTGTAGAATTGGGTGCCCCTTCGATTAGCTACAATTTTTTAAAAATTTTGGCGATGAAACCTCACTTCTGGTTACCATGATAGTTTTAACTTTGTTTTAGCTTCCTGATTTATTTAAATGAAATGGATTGGAAAATTAAGGCAAATGCCTAGTTTGTGCAATTCTAGGATTTTTTTTTTTTAAGTGAAAAACAGACGATGTGTCATGGACAGGGTTGTGCAATTCTTTGACTTCTTATTTTAGTTTTGTGTAGCGGCCATCTTGAAATTGTGCCTTCCTGGCACCGATCTTGGCTTCAAAAAAGAATCGCCAAAAAAACAAGGGGCACACAACTGTAAACTTTTACTAAATTTGCTTTAAAATAATATAAAACTGCATAAAACCAATATACTTTAAATTTATAGAAAATCAAGTAACTTAGGAAGAAAATACTTTCTTTTACAGGGGAAAAAAAAAAAAAAAAAAAAACTAAAAAATGAGATTAACACTCTGATGAAATTAATATCCACTTTGGAAATGGGTGTGATATTTACGAGAGATCAAATTTTAATATTATAATATGCATCATAAACTTGAACATAATGCAAAATTTTATATTTTTAGACTTGAAAATATTCCAATGCTACAGCACGTACAACATATCTATAGTATCTACCCATCTACTACCCAAAGTATGTGATTCCTTCCTAATAATAGAAGATCGAACTTAAGGTTTTTCAAAAAAAAAATTTAATCTGTCAAAAAGTGATATAACATTCTTTCATTATGGGAGATCATTTTGTCACCCACTGTTCAGCACAAATTTTACCAAAGGAGCTTTGCTGTGTGTCCACAGAGTGGTCTCACTTTTTCATGCATCAGATTATTTTGTATCCATATTTTTCAGCCAGACTGTTATTCATTTCATTCTACACAACATGCACCCTCAAATATTTACAGTAAAATATGCAGAAATTTCTCAAAATTCTGGATTGTTATGGAATTTTTTCCAAAATTTCTGATGAATAGCCTGATATACAACTAATCAATTTATCTATACCTATCCCATTCTCATTAATCCAATCACTAATTCACATACTTACACAAATGAGACTAATACAACAGAAAATCTAAATTTTGAAGACAACAAATCGTAATTTGCAGCCAAACTCTACATAATCTGATAATACAGATTAAAGTAACTTTGATTATTCTCTTCCAAAATTCATAAAACTCACTAGTAAGATCTTTGAAACATACTTAGAAAATTCCTGCATAACAGAACTTCTTCAGTTTTTTAATGTATGAAACTGGAACCAGAACATGCTAACTAAAAGTAAAAATAACTTCTAATATTAAACAACATTTTATAATTAATAAGTCAAAGAAGTTCCAAGATTAGAAGCTTCTTTATAAATGTATTAAGAATTCCTTATGCTCGAATAAATAAATATATCCAAAATTTTATGACTCACCCAAGTAGTCTCTTAGCTCATAAATACCGGCACTTATTTACAAGCAAACATATACACTTAAAACAGGACTATGAAGATAATACTTCTACATTTATCACTCCCAACATTTTCTCTTCAACTCTTTACTAGCTCTCGGCTAATCCAACAGTTTTCATACAGTTCCAAATCATATCTTGATATTTTTGTTGTTCAATAAACAAACCCACATCAAATTCATTTGCTTGGGTAGAACCTGAAGATCCAAAACAAATCTTAAAAAACAAATAAAAAGAACACACAGACTGTTCAAGATAGTAAAAGCTTTTCAAAGTTTAAACAATCTACTGTGGAAAGCATTCAGATATATATTTAAAAACATTTATCAACATAAATTATGGTAATAAATTCAATGTAAATAAAAGGCACAGCAATCTACAGATATGGAAAAAAAAATCAGTCAAAGCATAAGATTATTCATCATTATACTGCAAAAATATAAAACTGGAATGAAAGAAAATGCAAGAGGAAGAGCTACAGTATACAAAAAGAACACTTTCCCCCGGAGATATTAAAGGCTGATAAGTCAGAATTAAAGAAAAACCGTTCATGTAACAAAAGCTGACGGAATAATTCAAGACAAGAGTTTGGGAAAATGAAAAGGTAATTATTTGATATAACGTATTCTAAAAAATATATTTCATCAGAATGAAAAACATTTTATCAAGTACATTTCATCAAACTGAAAATAAATCTAGAATGAAACAAATCAATATTTTATTTTTCATTCA